CGCGAGTAGTCGCGCACAATGTTTCGGAATGACACAATGAAAGAAAAAGCGGAAAGCCACGATGATAAAGTGATGCAAAACATTAGCCAGTTTATCGCTATTATAACGAGATTCTATAAAATCAGCGAAATATGCTTTGCAGATTCAACAAAACATATGTCATAAGACACCCATAATTGTCGTAAAATGACACAACATTTTATGATCCAAATATAGACAAAAAAGTTTTCACGTCAAATCGAGAAAGATTTATTTAAGATGAGATACGAGCAAACTTTCTTTTGCGTGTGTGTGTGTGTTCTTCGATATACTCGATTTGTAACGGTAAACCACACGATTCAACTATATAACGAATGGTTCCAAAGTCTTTTCAAGAAAGCTCGCGCGTCGCAAACGCGCGATTCCGCCGACGTCGTTTCGTCGTCGACAGTAATTTCGCGATTGATTCGCCATTAGATCCACGACCCTCATGAGGAATTCATCGGCGACTGGCTGAAACTCCACGTCAACCATGAATACTTAGTCGCTCTCTGATGTTCCAGTCTCGATCGATTCGCGTATGAGCCAAGAGTGTCCGAGGCTGTTGACCCCCCTCCTTTCAATCCCTTCCTGCTTCTCTTCCCTCTGTCTCCTCCCTTTCCCTTTACCCTCTTGACGTTTTCGGTTGGTTCCAGTTTGCTCTCTCTCTCTCTCTCGCTCGCTCTCTCTCTCTCTCTCTCTCTCTCTCTCTCTCTCTCTTTCTCTCTCTCTCTCTCTGGATAGGCGCAAATTATAATGCCGGGGCTTAGAGACACTCTGACAAATTACAGGTTTGTTCTCCGGGCAACGGGAGATAGATTTTGTCGTTCCATCACCGTCGCTTGCAAGCGGACTCGCGCGCGGACATGCATATTAATTCGATTTTAATCTGAATCTCTCCCCGACATTGCGCGTCCAGCAAATTTTTTTATTTGTTTTTTTTTTACGTCAGCCAGAGCGGTGAATATGTTTCGAGTTATTCAAAATGCGAGACGCACTTACGTCGTGTCGTTGCGAGCGAAAAAACGGCGATCGCATTCATTATAAATTTCAACTCAATTCGCGTCCGCAAGACGTAAACCTCGAGATGACCGCCGTTGTACATGTGCGATCGATATTAATGAGCGTTAAATTACAAGTTCGGTCGATGAATCGAGCGCGTTTAATTGCGACCCGCTGCGAACCGATGCTTCCGATCTCCACAAATCAGCGTGCATTCAGAGAATCACCGCGAGACATGCCCGACGATCGTTACGCTCTGTCACACGCGCAATCTCATTCACGTACACGTCGCGACGTGCCCGTCTTCTGCGCGAAGGAAGGCTCCTTCGCGAGTAAAGGCGACGCCGTTTCCGTCTGTCGTTTCCAAGCGGAACGGGGCGACCGGTCACGGAATTAATTGCTGCGACCATGTCTTAATTGATAACGAAGGGCATTAAGATTTCTCGTAATGCCTGTATGGCGGGGTGAACGAGGGAAGGATGAACGAGCGAATGGACGAACGGAGCGAGGGAATAAGACGCGAGGGGAGGAGAGAAGAGAATCCTCGACGCCGAGGAGTCCAGACTAACGGCCGACTGGCGGAAGAGGGAGGTGAAATAATGCCCGGGCGCGAGAAGCCGTATTTGCATTAGCTATTCGTTTGACCCTAAAAACTGCCTGAATTGCACCGATGGCGATGGCTCCTCGTAAAGCCACGGCAATATCGCGGCGAAACGCGCTTCTCGGGCGTGCTCGAAATCCGTAACTCCGGGAAACTGCAGCGCGCCGCAAACGTCCGCGCGAAATTAATGTCTCGCGACTCGGAGGTGCAGCCACTTCGCGTCACCTTCCTCCAAATAGCACGAAACGTCGCGAAGAAGAAACGTCGACGGTTGTTGCGAGATAGAGAGAGCTTTACAGTCGCGAAGCGCGACGATATTACCCTCGTGAGACGCGACGCTCTTGTGCATATTTATTTTTAATATACTCCTTCACGCGAGAATGTACTTGTACACGCTAATATTCTCTTACGAACGATAAAAATACAATCAAAATTACAATCCGTCGAAAAAACTTTTCAACAAATAGATGAAAAAGTTGTTGTAAATCTTGACGCACTGAAATATTGCTCAAAATGACGAAGTCGAACAGAGCCGATAAATTATAGAACAAGTCAGCGAACGTGTACATGTATACGCGTATATACAACAGGTCGTGAATTAATCAGAAGAAAAGGCAACTCACTACTGCCCCGATTGATCATAGACATATAGTCAAGATGTCAATATTTTTTTTTTTTTTTTTTTTTTTGATCGCGTGTTTGACGTCAACGGCTTCAGTCGTGATGAATATAACATGTAGTCGATTTTGTTTTAAAAACAAGAGAGAAAAATGAGGTGAGCCGATAGCGTGGGCGAAACAAAACAAACTACAGCAAAAAAAAAATTGTTTCTCTCAGTTAAAAACAAGAGCTATACAAAAAAGCTATAAAACTTGTGTTTCGTATATGTATTATACATGTCTGTGTGTCTTTCGACGTTGCTTCTAGCTTGTGGAATTCAACGTTTGCGTTTTTTTTGCCGACTTCCGTGCATAAAGTGACATAACGCGCTTTTAATATAAAATTATTTCTTTTATTCTCCGTAACGTGACATTGTCTCTCTTCGAACATTTTCGGTCTGTGTTACCTACCACAACGCGCGCATTTCCTTTCTTTTAAAAATAATAATAGCGGCGAACCACGCGGTACACAAGGCAAGGTTAATAAAGAAACCGCGGTACACGCTGACAATAAGATACTGATAAGCGGAAAATATGTTACGGCACGGTATAAATAGGAACCGCTACCGACAAAAGAAGTCGTAAGCAGTTGCTGCACGTACGCAATTTTTGCGACGACGATGTCTTTTCGCGATTCCGGGATTTTTACTCGAATATTGCGTCCACACGCGACTCAAAAGTTTCCGTCCCGACAATAACCGTTGAAATTAATGTCGCGTTCCGTTGTTCACTGTATGAAAATCTACAGTTTCAGGTGATAAATATATTGATATTATTATAAATTTTCAAGTATTGACAATGAACTTTTCGGAAACTAAATGTTCAACTTTTAGCAAAAAAACATGAACATTTTTAACGCGCGCGTTTCTCAAATAATAATCTAGGCGCTTGACACAACGCGCTCACACTATTTGCCAAGCCTCACGCGCGACGAGCTTTTAAAATCGATTTAAAGCACATTCCTCGTCGTCTTAAGAGATGTCATGTATCTCGGGCGAAAACGCGTTGGACAAAACACGTGTGTCTGTCAATAAATACGTGCTTTAACAGCGGTAATAATTTTCGTCGCGCTATAAATCAACGCGCGCGAATGTTCCTCGTGCAAAGGGCGCGCGCTCTCCAGGCGGAGGAGAATTCGGCGGCACAGAAGTGTGTCGGACGAGTCTTCGAAATACACACGTGACGTGCCTCTATCTCTCGTAGGGAGGGTTTTAATAAAACTTCTAATCAAATCCGTTCCACATGACAAATGTCGGGAAAATATTTCTCGCGTATCATCCAGATTTGCGCTACGCTATTTGTCACGTGTAGAAATTGAACATCATCCGCAAAAATAACAGAACACAAATGCGACTAACGACACTATATGACATATGTGTAAAATGAAAAAAAAAAAAAAAAAAAAAAANTANAATGTATAAAATAAATTGTAAGTACGTTTGCGTGCTGATATGACAGAGAAACTCTAGTAGTTTCCGTCTAGCATTCCTAAAGGTGTACGTGTCATATTGATTCCACAGCGAGTGTACAACGGACACAGCAACGATCGTCTCAGTGAATTCCTTGCATGAGTCACGGGAAGTACCAGTACGTCTCTTACTCCACTTAGGGCTAGGTAATAATCACGCGACCGCATAAACTGCGAAGGTGCTCGATTATCGCATGTTTTTTTTAACGGAAGTTTACACACGTTTCTGCACAGAAACTCGTGACGCATATGTTAAATAAATGCAATTCTTTTCTTTTGTTTAATTCACAGCGAGATGTGAACACATCATTGAGATAAACAAAACATTTTTACGCGACGAATAGAAAAACTTGTAAAATCTCGTACACGTGCACGTGTGCGATCGATCATTTTTATACGCGATAATTTTATTTTACAACCTGCGTTAATGATTGAAGACTCCATGTAATCCTCAGAACTAAAACCAATTCGGACGTAGTAATAGCGAAAGTCAAACGACATCGTGCGATTAAATTTACATAAGTCCGGTATACGGTGATGTGCGATTTGTCGCACTCGTTGTAACGTGACAGCGAATTTGTCACGAACTACCATCGCTCTTGCAACGCGCGCGTATATATAACGATGTATACTAATAAAATGTCAAATTACAAGAGCATTTTACGGATAATGATTTCCTCAACGTGTGCAAAATAATTCGACAGCCGTTACGAAGCACGTTAACGACCGTTAAGAAACACGTCGAGAGAAACGACCTACAAGTTTACCCTTGCATTTACTTCGCGGTAATAGACTCAATACGCAGCGACGTCGTGTGCGTGAAAAAAAACGATACATCATTATTCAGCCGGGTTCAAGATCGAATCAATCACTTGCTTTGTATGTGTATTCATTGATCGACGATGAATCGCGGTCCCCTTTTACACGTCGTTCTCTTTTAATCGTTGATATGTAAATTTGCTAAGTTGTTCGATCGACAAACAACGAGAAGATGACTTTAATTTGCCTTAAATTTTCTATAATAATTTCTAAATAAAATTGTTTTCAATTAAAAAAAAAAAAAAAAAAAAAACACGATACTGCAAGTTTAAAAATATCTTGCTAAAAAAACATTGATAATAATTTACGTAAAAATAGTTTTGCTTGTATTCACCTCTTACATAGAGAAAATCATACTCTTATATATAAAATAAACAGGATGAATATATCATATAATAGAAATGATTCAGTTAATACACTCGGTTCACATATATTCAGTTCAGTCTCGCTTGTCATGGAAAAACATTTTTATTTATAAAATATGTCCTTTTACGGTAGAAAAGTCTTATGTTTACTGAAACTATTGCTAACAGCTTTCAATATACAAAGATGAATAAAATGAATATAATATTCAGTGAAATTATTGTTAACGTTTATACTATATTCACATAGTTAATATATTTCATTTTTGATTCAATGTTAAGACTTTTCCTTCAAATGTACATGGATTGAATGTAAATAAATTATTGACTGGCGCATGCTTCTGCGACGCAGCCTTGATCACCTCTTGAGCCAAGATACCGCCGAGAATACTTGAACTGGGACTGAGAGGAGCACTGTTTTTGAACCTATATAATAATACAAAGCGCAACCATAAATACTATATGTACAAGTTATAAAAATTAATGAATATATAACTAGCGAAGATTACTTCGGACATGTCAGCCAATACACTAAGTATTTGTGCAAAATATAAATTTTTTTATAAATCTAATTTTTTTAAATACAAATCTTAGTTATATTTTTTATTGTTAAATCATTTTTTTTACATAAATTGTTATATTTTTTAAACTCTTGTACAAATACTTAGCACATTGGCTTACATAACTAAATAATTTTTCATTAGTTTGATACTAAATAAACTGAAATTTGTTGTTAAACTAGTTTTTAGTAAATATAAATTCGAATCATATAAAATATACATACGGTATAAAGTCACTATCTTTGCATTTTACTACATAATGGTCCTCCGGTAATTTATATTTTTCGACAATGGCGGACACTTCATTAGATAGATTTTCATGATTTTCTATTACAAGATCGTCGCCATATTTCTCACGATAATTCAGCATTACTGAAAAACATATTATTATTAAAAACATATTATTCAAAATATAATTCCTTAAAAGTCTTTTAAAACATACTTTGCATTATGTAGTATACTATTTCGTTTTTATGCAACACAGATTTTGGAACATTGAGAATAGATTCGAAAGGTACGAATGTATCGGTGCGTTTTTCATTAACTGTTATAGTTTCAAATTTTTCTTTTATCATAGGTTCGCCACTTTCTGGTTTCGCTTTCTTGACTGTCGAAACATCCCTAAAAGATTTTCCATGATTAGTACGTGTGTGTCACACAAAATTGATTTTACATTCACACTCGTAAGAATGCTTACACTATATATTCGTGTTTCTGTAAATCTATGAATACATATCCAAATCCAAATCCCCATACATCCGTAGCAAAAAATTTGATATTTTGTTTTCGGCAGGCTTGATTAATCCTTTTGAGTTGTGTTATGCTACACTGTGTAGCACATACTATGTCAAATTGTCCAAAATACTTATCAGGTTTATTGTCAACATTGTCTGTGTCAGCAATGACATTAACCATAGGATTCAAAGCTTGTGCTCTCTGCACTGACTCTTCGGCTCTCTAATATTATAAGTAATTATGTTAATGTATAATTATTGTATTATTATAATAATTATCATGCAATAATCTAATACGATTACTTATTTCTTATTTACATTCTTTCCATTGTAATCTGCAATCAAAAACTGTGAACATTTATCTACTTCCGATGAGTTTCTATGATCCAAAAATGTAATCGATTTAACTCCACTAAGAATAATATTTTTAGCAGCTTCTGCACCAAGACCATTTAATCCTATCAAAAGAATCCTTGAGGCTCGTAATCTAAAGAAAAAAAAACATTGCAACATGAAAATATTAGAAATTAATAGCACATGTTAATTATACCGTACAACAGCAAATATATTCTAACATTTGATTTATAATTCTATTATAAAATATACAATCAATATATATTATAAAATAAAACATTCCAATTTAAACACATTTTTACTAGCTACTATGCACAATGTTAAGGTTATCTTACCGGCTTTGTGCTTCTGAGCCCCACAAACGAAGTTGCCTGTCATATAATTCAGCCTCTGCATCTGTCAATACTTCGTTGTTTTCTTTATGATCATCTACCATTGTAAACTTTGTTTCTTTCTTTGCTATGATACTTTTGTACCGCCAAAACTAGCGAAATAATATCGTTGAATCACAGAGAAGACTGGGAGCGGCTAGGCCCATAAGAGTTTCTCCGCGATAGCTTAACTGCCTCGTAAACTAGCGCATCTTCACGAGTGATGCACATTGGAACTACGCAGCCATGTCCACGAGCGACTGTTGGTACGTGAGATATGTACAAACGTAGACATCAGTGTGCGGTTCAATTCTGTGCAATGTGCACGAATCCAAGTGTCGAAAATCAATTACACAAATGCACAAATTATTATTGAAAAACACCAGTTAGGTTTACATCTTGATCTATTAAGTCAACATCCTTCCAAGTTTCTGTAGAAGGTAAACATCGCGCGTAATATTCACGCAAGACAGCGTACGTTTTTTGTTATTTTATTTTTTAAGTAAAAGCATATATCTCGGAAAATTAATTGCTGCTGTTATTAATATCAATTATAACAAATTACTAAGTTCGCGCTTCTTCAGGTGTGTGAGTACTCGCGAGCGTAGATTTGATTTCTTTTGAAATTAAAAATGACCGGTCACGTGATGAGAAGATGAGGAAGGAGAACAAAAAAGGATAAGGACAAACATTGCAACTTTCCACACAACATACATCTGATATTCAAGCAAAAATGTAATAGTCAGGAAAAGAATATTATTTTAGTGAGCAGCATCAGAATTCACGGAGTGTAATATCACGTCCTTTTTACATCATCATTTGCTGCTCTTTGTTTAATACATTTTATTTTATTTTTTTTAAATCACTACATATATTTGTATAGATATACAACACACAAAAAAACATGTATATTACATAAAAGTGTTTTACCGGTACACAAATATATATGTCAGAAAAGTTGCAATTTCAAGAAGTATATCTTTTACTGCTTTATTACAATTCTTTGTCAGTGTTTTCATTTTTCAAGTTTCATTTTACATATTTTTATACATTATAATAAAATACAATAGTTTACATATATTACGTATAATATTATACAACATACACACACACACAATACATATAACATACAATATTATACAATATAATACATAGTATATATAATCCTACCTACCTATCTTAAACATCTGACATATCTTAAACGTTACTAGCCTTATTAATTAGGATTAAGGTTGCATGACAGCCTTGATCCTAATTGTACATTTTTATTTCTTATACCTACCTACCTCTGATATCTAACATATTTCCTACCTATCCAACCTAATTTATTTTCTACAAAGAGCATGTAGATACGCATCCCTACACATATATCTATCTACCTACCTACTTATTTACTTTGAAAAGCTTTAAAACCTATCAAATATTTTACGCGAGGGGCAATTGTTTTAAAATTAAAAAGTATAATTTTAAATATATTTTAGTTTCACGTCCGAGTTTTGTTTTAGATTTTATGATTTGAAGAAGAATATATATTCACCCGATAATAAAGCCCACCATGTATAATTAGAAGAGATAGAAATATTAATATTCTATAATAAATAGAAAAAATATATATATTTTAATATCAAAATATATATTTTAATATATATTTCATATATATATATTTTTGCAAAGATAAAATAGAAAAGAATAAAAATGTGGAGAATAGATATAAAGAACGCGTAAGTCTCTAAAAAAAAGATTCTATATCGGTTCTTTAAGAGAAATTGATATAGAAATATAAAAGTGGATGTATAGAAAAAAGATATAAAGAATATAAGTCTTCAAAACAAGATTCTATATCAGTACTTTAAGAGAAATTGATATAGAAACATAAAAGAACATAAGTCTCCAAAAAA